TATATCGTAATTGACACAAACCTGTTCATGAAATCTGGATCCAAAACTAATTGGTCAAGAAAAAGTCCCACCCCCTCGCCGCCATTTGTAAAATAACAAAGAATAGTTTAAAATCTGCATAAGAAGTCTGTTGTGTGAAAGTAAACTAGACTAGCTGATTCTCTGCGTCGTTGTTTAGGTATCGGTTGCGCAGACTGAGGAGACAGAAGTACAGAAGTGTTTGATATCTATAAGTAAAGAGCAGGGGGAGATGACCAGTTTGCATCTGTACTCTGACCCTCCGGACTTTTTTTTTTTTAAACCATGAGCAGCTCCAGCAACCCTGACAGATGCTCTAAAAGCCTACTCCTGGGAGTTGTCTGTAGACATGGTCTACTTCATTTGTCACCTGGGTAGAGCTGGCTGGGTAGAGCTGGCTGGGTAGAGCTGGCTGGGTAGAGCTGGCTGGGTAGAGCTGGCTGGGTAGCCTGATCTCAGTGTCTCCCTTCTGGGTATACTTAGGCAGCCATCATACCACCTTCCCTCTTTGGGGGTGGAAGGTATTCATCCTATTTTGTCCCTTGGATTTTTTTGTTTCATATATGTACACAATGTGATCATAATCACCCCCCCTTTACCCTCTGGAATCTTTCTTTTCTCTCTGAACCCCTTCTTATTCCCACCTAGCCAGTGGTTATCCATTAGAGATGACATGACACCCACAGGTCTTTACTCCTCAGGTTTTCAAATGTCTGAGTCCCCTAACCTCAGGCAAGGACCAGGTGTCATTAACTTAGCAATGTCATGCTGACCGATTGGGCTTAACCTACCCCTAAAATGTTCTCAGAGGAAGACTTAGAACAGTGCTCACTGGGCTGAATAGTTGAAAGTGAACAAAGGAATCTAAACCATACCATACCATTGCATACCGTTATTAGCCTATCACAGATAATTGCTTGCCACACTGACAATTTGGCAATTCTCTGGTTTCTAGAAACCTTGTAATGGGATATATACGTGTGTGTGTGTGTGTGTGTGTGTGTGTGTGTGTGTGTTGCTTTTTTAAAATCGGGTTTTTATGTGCAGTCCTGACTGACGTGGAGCAAAGTCTCTTCCGTACATCTAACAATGATGTGAGTTCTTCTAAATAGTCATGTTGTGTTGTGTTTTGTTTTTAGGCTGTAGAACGACATGAATCCTTAACAAGTTGGAATCTGGCAAAGAAAGCCAAGTGGCGTGAAGAGGCTGCATTGGCTGCACAGACCAAGGCTAAATGATGCTCTAAGTGTCAAAGCACTCTCTCAGATGCCATTATTATTAGCAATAATAAAAGACGGATAAAATGTTTGCTATGGTTTTACTTTAGTAACAAAACCACTAAGATCATTTTAATGTTTTAGTAAACATTTCCTAACACCCATTAAAAAAAATAGTACACAAAAGTACTTGGTAGACTTTTACACAGCAAAGGCGAGGAGGCGCTAGCCGGCTCCAGGATGTGGCCCTCGCAGGCCCTGCCTGTCTCCCCCATTTTCTCTGCTTGCTACAAACCAATAGATTTCATTCCTAAAGCTAGCCACTAAGCTCTGTTCCCTACCTTGATCACTTCCTCCTCCTGAGGCTGACTATCAAAGTCCAGCTATCAGGAGGCTCCTTCGGCTCACCTAACCAACATGCACAATTAAAATTGAACACTTCATTTTAATATGGGCGTTTCCTTTATAAAGTGACATTTGTCTATGTGCCACACTTGTCTCCTTTCTTCCTCTGGAACGAATGCCCCTTTCCTTTCCCTTGTCCCCTTCCCCTTCTTTCTAGTCTCCTGTCTCCTTTACCACCACATCCTAGCCCATTTTAACACAGACCTCCCGTTTTCCTCTTAAAGATTCACCTGCAAGGTCATTTGCTGCTGTTTTTCTGCCTGAGTCGGAAAGCAGCCACTTTAACTCCTCTTTCCCACTTAACAAAGGATCTCTGTGAAAACAGGTGCTTGAGTGTGGTTTTTGCTAATCCAGGGTCCATGAGGAAGCCCCCTCCCCATGGAGGGGTCTCCTTCAGAAGAAGCCATGAGTGAGAGAAATCCTGAGTGAATGTATTGTTGACATGGACACAGTCATGACAAAGACCCAAGCCCTTGGACCCAAGGGAAATCAGCAAAGCTGTTCCGTATGGGCTGGGCTTGAAGTTGGGAAAACCTTCCTCTGATCCAAGTGCCAGTGTTTACAGAAGACTGATCAGTGTGTACAAACGCTAGCAACTGCAGCTTCCTCCTCCCGGATGTTTAGTTTGAGACAGCCTGCCAACAGACACCTCCTATGGAGACTAGCTAACCGATCCCTGTGCGCTGTACACAGAGAACGGGGCATGGATGTGATAGTGCTATTATTCCACTAGTGAGCACACTGCACCCGACTCTAGCTTTTATGCAATGTGCCTGCCCTTTCTTCATTCCCTTGCAACCATAGTCAGGTTTCCAGATCCAAACTCCACAGATTACAGCACTGGTATGCTCACTGCCCAAAATAAAATAATCATCAGAATTTCAGAACTCTGCTCTCTCTCAACCTAGAACATCTCAAAGGTAACCATTGTTCTAAGTTGTAGTTGTTTTTTTTTTTTATTTTTTTTTTAATGGTATAATACAACATGCAGTTGATGTATGGACTCTTACCATTACTTATGACGTTCATGCACAACATATAAAACTACAGTCTTCCTTACTGTTCTACCTCATGCATGTAACCCAAGCACTGTGATGACTGAGGCAGTATTCCCATGAGGTCAACACTAGCCTTGACTACATTGTGAGCCTTGTGTCTAAACAAAAAAACAAAAACTCCAAATACTAATTTTCAACCTAAGTTCTCTAGTATTTGGTACCTGAATAGTCCCTTTAGTTATACTTTTCCTAGTTGGCAATTAAGCAATAGATTTGAAGTCTAAGAATTATTCCAGAATTTATTTCACTGATGAAGTATTAAGACTAATTATAAAGGTATTTTAAAAATAAAAAAGGAGCCAGGCAGTGGGGTACATTCTTTAATCCCAGCCGTTGGGAAGCAGAGGCAGCTGGATCTCTGTGAGTTCAATGCTAACATGGTCTATGGATTTGAGTTCTATGACAGCCAGGGCTACACAGAGAACCCCTGCCTCAAAATTAAATAAGTAAAATTTAAAAAATAGAAAAGGAAATAGTGCATCAATAGTCTTCAAACTTATTTAAAATTATGTAACTTGCCCTCACATGTTCTTTATTTAGCCTTTACTTTTTAATCATGTGGGGCTTTTTGTTTGTTTTTGCTTTACAAACTGCTTTTCTTAGAAAAAAAATATAGAATGTCTTAATATATGCCCGGGGTCAGCAGCTCAGGAAAATAGAAATAATAATAAACAAACAAACAAAAAACCCTAAAAACTAAAAGCCAAAAGCACCACCAAGCAAAAAACCTCCCCCACCCGAGAAACTAAAAAGTTAAAGGCAGAAACTTAAATAAATGAAGCCAGACAAACCAATGTAACCAAATTAACTCAGAATAAATGAGATAAAAGAAAAACAAGATGCAAGAAAAAAGCATTAGGATGGCAAGTGAGGCAGAAGCCTACCTTCCGGCTTGTTAAGAGAACATGGTGGACTGGTACCCTTCCGGCTTCCTGCCAAAACCGAGGAGCAAGGACTCAAGTGCACTCTGGCATGAAATGCCAGAGAAAAAGCTGGACAGTAAATATTGTGGGCAGAAAATCAAAGGGACCTATAACTGCTCCATGTCCCTTCCTAGCCCGTTTAAAGTTGGCCAGTATGACAGGGAACCTGAAATTGGAGTTACGAGTTCACAACAGGGCACGGTAGGCAGGCAAAGCTGACAGATAGCTTCGCAGATGCAGTCATCCCCTTCAGCTACGTTGAACAGGTGCAATTACTACCCAAGGCCACCAAAATAACCACCTCACAGGACAAGTGAAAACAATCCCTGAACTCCCCTGGACTGGGTCTGTCACTCTTACAATTCACAGGTCATGGGGGATGCTCAGACTGCACTGCCTCAGCAGCAAGGGCTGCACTAACAACGGCAAAGGTTAAACAAGCTTGTAAAAAACAAAAATTAGATTTTATTTATCTATTTTATCGTTATTATTATTATTGCCCATATAACTTAATTGTAGGCTATTTCACATCCTGACTGCTAGGAATCAGGGCTGCAATAACTCAGGGTGCAGTTGTCTTTGCTAGTGATTTCAGATATACACCAGATATGCTTTGAGATATATACCAGAAGGGCTTGACTTCATTAGCCGTCAAAGACACAGATCGACTTGAAATGAAATACTATCTCCATTAGAATAGCTATTAATAAATAGAAAACAAGATAACAAATGCTTGTTAGGATATGCAAATGAGAGCCTGTATATACTACCAATGGGAATAAAGTCAGTAAGGCCAGTCTGGACTAAAGTGTGCAACTTCCTAAAAACAAAACAACAAAAACACTACCATATGGGGCTGGCTCACTTTGCCTGTCAATGTTTCCATTTTAATAGTCTTTGTGTGATATACACTAACTACAGAGGCGGTTTAAATCAATTTCCACCCTAATTCTGGCACTGGAATACTTGTTCCAAGCTGGTAGTTGTTTGGGAAGCACAGGAGTTATGGTCTTGCGGGAGGAAGAGTCACTAGGGTTTTACGTTGAGGCTTCACAAGTCTGGTGTTGAGGACGTTGATCCCCCAGAAGCGTGAGTCTTCCTTCTTTAAGTTCACTGGATCACAGGGCTTTATCCTGGTACCTTTACCTCAAGAAAAAGCACTGTGATTCTGATGTAACAAATTTACACCTAGCATCCTGCTACTTTTATTTGAGGGGTCCCCCTTTTTCTCTCTTCCTACCTAGTTTTGAGTTAAGTATTGTTTATGATTCTTGTTCTATAAAATGGACAAGACTTGTTAACTGATGATTGCATATGTTTTTATTCCACTGGGAATACACAATCCTAGCGATAATAATGAAAATAAGCACACATACAAATGCAACTGCGAAACAGTATTTTATTGTGTTTAGTAGAGTGTAACATTTCATATTATTGCATAATGCTCAAATGTTTGTTTGTTTAGTTAGGTGACAATCCCCTCATCTCATCTCACAATGGCCTTTAGAGCCCTACTAGACTGGCTCCTAATAGCATGTCACAATTCAGAAAATAGTAGTGCTATGTACTGAAGTGAGTAGGAGTTCATTTTATTTCACAGTATCACAATTAAGCAACCAGTATGATTGCTGAATTTAGAACACTATCAAAAATCCACAGACATTTTTTGTGTTTCCTTTTTCATAATGCTCGTCTCTAAAGAAGCAAAATTACGAAAGCAGAGGTCATACATTCCTCAGTTCTTCACCCAGTGGGCCCAGCTTTAACTGCAAACAGGCTTCAGGGACCAAAGGAGAAGCTATTTCTGTGCCAGCAGACTTACTTTAAAGCAAAAAGTAAAACAAAAAATACCCTGTTTCCGTGCTGCCAGTAAGAGACAAAGACACTAAAAATGAAGAACACTAAAAATTAGGTTAGAGTAACCTTTCAATTTAAAGCATACAGCAAAACCAACTAAGCAAACAAACAAATGAACCTAGGCCAGTGCATCAGTATTAATAAAACAAGTACGCATGATTGCATAGTTCAACCAGTAGGAAGTCAAGCTCAAGTAAATCTAATTAAATGGATCAGTTTAATTAAATGGACTCTTTCAAGTATTTTTCTTGGTATCTGCATTAATGTTGTATGAATTCCCTAAAACACATTTTATTTTATTTGGCACAGTACTTATAATATGTAAGTGTCATAAATCTTAGAAAAGCAACTTACTAAGTTGCATCATAAAAGACAAATTATTATGATGATGAAAACAAATTAGGGGAATTTTAAAATGGCACACTTACAAAGCTATCTCTTACTCTTGGTTCAATAAAAAAGAACTAGACCTTAAAATGGAATCAAATTCCCTTTACAGTCAAATCTAATTACACAAGATACGGATCCAAGATAAAATGTGTATTTAAATATTCAAAGTATGATCAAGTTCTATGCTTAGAAATACATCTGTTCCATTGACATATTCTAAAATCTCCTTTGATAGGTCATTTATTCATGTGTCTGCAAACAGTATGTGTGTGTGTTTATTCATTCTCACGTATGTGTATGCAAGCATGCACGTGCACACACGTCTTCTATAAGAACTATTTTTTGGAAGATCTGGCTTAGGATTTGTTATAGTGACTAGTGGGACCTCAAAGCAGGCACAGCTGGCTAGGTTTGAAGTTCGCTGATCTACAAGTTCAACTAATTGATTACAAAGAATCAAATACCCTGTCATCTTATCGGCACCATAAAACAGTGTTTACTTGATAACTTCACTCATCAACTTGGTAATCCTTGTATCACTACCCTGTTTCTTCCAATACACATAAATGTAAAAGGAAAACTTTTTATACTTAACTCTGTAACTTCCATTCTAATAAAAAGGGCACAGACACAATCCTCTACTAATGGCATAAAAGGACTGCCAGGTGCAATAAGTCCTCTGGAAACCATTTAAACTGAGATTTCATGGTTGTAGGGTTGCAGTGTCTTGCCAAAAGCTTAGATTCATGACATATAGTTTACAAAGTGTCCTGCCACTTAAAAGTACTCCTTAAACACATTCCTTATGTCACACGCCTGATTTCCAGCAGAAACATTACAAATGCCGTCATAAAGAACAGACTATGAATCATATCAAAACTGTTTTAGTTCCCATCTTAAAAGAGTTGTAAATTAGGTTTTACATAAGTATTCTTAAGTATATAATTGGATATATCCAAAACTTGCATATAACTATAAATCAAAAGACAGTTCGACAATACATCTGCTTAGAAAATTCTACCAAGCAGTTCTATGGGGTAACACACACACACACACACACACGTAAATAAATACAATATAAATTTCCTATCAAAACCTTTCAGAGTGTAATATTTCAAGAGACTTTTTGCTGTTAACTCATAAAATGCAAATTAGGCTGATACAAAGGTCATCTACCACATAGTTCATAGTAAGTAGCAATATGACCTGCTATGCATTACTGAAAGGGAATATTCCTAATATGAACTACTACATATTAAATAAGCCTTAGCAGTTTACATTAGTATCGCTCATTTAGTCAAAACATTAAATGCACTTAAGATAATTTAGTACTGAACAAGGTGATTTCTTAAGGATACTTTTGTCTTTTAAGTACTCATGTTCACAACTACACAGAGAATAAAACATTTCAAGACCTTCTGAAAACTCAGAATAAATAGTTCCAGGTATGTAGCTTCTTTAGATTCATGATCACCTCTCTGTCATGATCTTTAAAATAAGAGTGAAAATAAACACTATTCCAAAAAGGACAGTGTATCTAGATAAAATATAAAATATACTATAATGATAGTATTTTATGAAAACAACACAAATATTTGAGTGTTTTATAGGTATGTCATGTGATCAACATGAACTGCTTGTTTCTTCATAACTGCCACATTTTAATCATCAGTACACCATTCTGTTTTATAAATACATTTTGTAAGTTTTCTGTTGCAATTGTTTGAAGTATAACCTACAGCACAGTGATTTATAATCTAAAGTAATAAAAGATTATCATATTCTAATTCAGCTCTTATGTGACTTTATGCTTCTGAAGCTTTGTTTTTACGTTTGCTTCAAGACAGAGGTAGATTTAATAAAGCCCGGGCGTCACCAGACTTTCTGCCAAAATGCAATTATCGACTTTCACAACCCTGCTATTGTGCAGTTTGAAAAGTTCAGAACCATTATATAACACCAAGCCATCCTTTTCAAGCTTGAGTGAAATAATTGCATAATGTATATTCACAAATAGATATAAAAATCCAAACAACAGAGGACAAATATAGCTACATCAAGATGAACAACCAAAACAACAAACAGAAATAAGTAAGGTAAGGGCGCATCTGAATGGAAACCTTGGTTTCATCTTTCCTTTTTGAAAGTGCATCAGATTTTTTTCTTTTCTGTATTATATAAAGACATTTCTACCAATGCTGGTAATGTGGGAGAGATATCAGAAGCTAGCCATTTTAGTCAGTCATTTTCTCCACCACCTGTTAGAGCTGAAACCCTTCCATTGGTGCTGCCTGCTCCTGAAATACAAACTGTTGCTGGTTTTCATCCACCTGAGGTACAATGCTGGGATCATCATCTTCTACACCAAAATAGTGTTCAATCAGATCAAAAGCCTTTTGATAAATTTCCTGATTTTCATGACTTTGCAGAAACTCAATTTTATCCAAGCCTACCACAGAAAGAACATATACAAGAAACAAATTATTATTAGGGCTTCAGTATATATTTTATGAAAATAACCAATCAATATCATCCACTGGAACTTGAATCATAGAGTTGTGAGCTGCTCTGTGTGTGCTGGGAATTGAACTCCAGTCCTCTGGAAGAGCAGCCAATGCTCTTAGCCACTGGGCCATCTCTTCAGCCCAGAAATAGCACTTTCTATACAAAATAAACCAAGAAGTTAACATAAAAGCAATTTAGTGACATTACTTTACATCAGCCAATAAGAGGAACTACCAAGTTATAGTGGTACTTGCATACCTAGCCAGGGACTCTGTTAATTAAAAGCCCTTAGGTAAACAAAATGGAAAGATAAACAATTTTGTGCCTATGATTCAGCATCTGCATTCCTGAAAATATATCAGGACATACAGATTCAGCTGGATATGATGGTCTATGCTTCTAATCACAACTCCCAGGAAACTGAGGTGGAGGCCAGCCTGGGCTATAGTGAGTTCTAGGCCTGTCTCAGCTACACCGTTGAGAGCTAATATCAATAAAATAAAATTAAAATCCCAAACCAAGACAAAAACTGCTACCAATAAATAGAAGAAATAAATTTATAAGCAGAAAGATAACTGCTTTGGCTTATATGATGCTCTAAGTAATTTGGAAACTAATGGTCAATTACAAGTAATTGGCCTTAAACTGATAAAACATTACTTAAACTATACTCCCACATCTATCCAATATAATATACATCTTTTCAATCATGGAGAAATGTACAACACACACTACTTAAATCAATACAAAGTAGCTGTCCAATAGGAAAATATAGAAGATAAATAAGGAAAGTTAAACAGTAAAAAGAAAAGTGGATGATGATGAATTGATACAATATGAGATATGGGCAATTATTGTAAAATATTTTTCAAATATACTGTTTTTATAATGAAAACAAAACTTATAGACTGGGGGAGGGTGAATGTGCAGAGGGAGGTCGCTTACGGCAGATAATTACAAATACCTATCATTGCAAACGTTCAGCTGCTTGCTTACCATACGCTTCTTCAATGAGAGCACAGTAAGGATTGACACCCACTCCATTCTGCTTAGATTCTTGTTCTCCAAGACGTAAAATATTTTCCAGTCCATTCAAAGCCACCTGAACTATTTTGGAGTCCATGACAGTCAAAAGGTCACAAAGTGGTTTAATGCAGCCTAAGGTTACCAAATACCTTCAGAGAGATTTTAGGAGAAATGGGGGAAGGGGGATTTAAACACTGTACATTATAATAACACAAAACTAGAATGAGATGTTATATAACCAAAAGTGAAAGTGTTTTTATACACACTCTTTGTTGCTGTTGTTCTTTTTTGAGACAAGGTCTCACCATACAGCCCCACTGGCCTGGAACTAACTATATATAGACCAGGCTGGCCTTGAACTCACAGATTTGATTGCCTCTGCCTCTTGAGTGCTGGGATTATAGGAATATGTTGCCATACCTGGCTAAACTCAGAAAGTTTTTTTACTTACATTGCAATCTGTAAACCCTTTTCTCCTGTTCTCTAGTTTCACGCAATTAGCAAGAATGGAATTGCAAATACTACAAAATGCACACACAGACCAGCACTTAGATGGTTTTGTAGAGGAGGGTTAGGAATAGCAGGTTCTGGCTGTTCTTTTTTTTTTTTTTTTTAAAGATTAAGACAGCGTTTCTCTCTTTCCCTTTTGTCTTCCCTCTTGGTTTATGTGTTGGGAAGGAACAAATGGAGAAGGCAACGCCTAAATTAAATTTCAAAAGACTTCTTACAACAGCAATCATAGCCAATGCTCTGAAACATCCACTATATTTCAGAAATGCAAATGATCACAAAGACGAAAACAGGCTACCCTGGTAAATGCTAACAAGTACTGTTCACAGAAATATCCCCTAATTTCCTAATGCACTATTAATGTCCACTTTCCACTTCTTATATAAATGAAGTGATTTTTCTTTTGTTTGACGAAGAGTTCCTATGAACCAGACTTTGAAACTAGGTTGCACGCTTTTAAATCCTAATTTCATTTTTAGTCAGTTATGTAACTTTGAGCAACTGCTCTCTCTACCTCAGTTTCCCAACAGGAAGTATTTTACAAAAGCTTCAGCTTGTGCAGAGATTCATAAGAATGAGAGGATTAGTAGAGAAGTCAAGTTTATTTGAGGAACAAAGTATGTCTCTGTTACAGAAATCAAAAAGACTGAAGATACATGATACAAAGAGACTGGAATCAATACTTGAAAATGACAGTTACGAAAGACACCAGGACCTTACTCTAGCTGAGAACCTAATGTCCATTAAGCACTATGCTGACCATGTTAAGTACACACGTTTCACTTTTGATATGGTTACTCAGTTCATTAGCAAGAAGAAACTGGACTAGAACCGTTAAAGGGCTTTGTCAAAATGGATCCTATCACAAGTTCTACTGAAGGACTAGGACTTGACCAGGACTTGGCCAGGCTAACTTAAAGTCATGTACCAACTATGAATGCTGTCAGCAAAAAAGGCATAGGTTATAAAACCTAGTACAGAAGGAAAAAGACACGTAGTGCACAGACGCATTACACTATCTACTGGCAAGAGAACACAATCAATAAGGAGAGAATACCACGGAACAACTGCATACTGAGATTTTACCTTAAACAAGTCGATATTCATATGTGTTACTTCTATAATTAGTTAATTAGTTTTAATGCTTAAAACAAATCTAATGCTCATGACAGTATATTCTGCAAATCAACAAATTCTTCCTATTTGAAATTCTAATCTCTGCCAAGGAAAAACTTAAGTAAAGATAATGAAAGAAACCAAACGAAAGATACAACAAATGCTGTCATTTCATGTTAATGTATATTAGACATAAACTGTTACTCTCACCAATAAATGATTTTTTTTCTTTCAAATTGCCTGACTCATTTCTAAAAGACAATGCTGAGGAATCACGCTCTACCTTATTTGCTCTGGAGCGCCTCCCGACGTGGCATTAGTTATAGCCCACGCTGCTTCTTTTCTGGTACGAAATTCTGCTTTCTGGAGAACCTCAATCAAAATAGGGAAAATACTTGCATCTATGACAGCCTAAGAAGAAAAATGAGCCACCACAATTAGTGCAAATACGCTTTCAGAGCTCCTGTCACGTGGGGCACTTGAGGGGACCTTAAAAAGTGAGGGTGGCTGGAGGGTGGCTCGCTGGTTATGAGCGCCTGTGCTCTTTACAGAGAACCTGGGTTGGGTTGGCAGCAGCCCTGATGGGAGACGTCATTCTGTAAATATGTTTCTCATACTGGTTAATGAATAAAGCACTGTTGGCCAATAGGAAAGCAAGACAGGTGGGACTAGGAGACAAGGAGGATTCAAGGAAGTAGTAGGGAGGAGTCAGCATGGGGAGACTGGAGAGAGCAGAACACCGGCACCTCTCTCCAGTAAGATGAGACCATGTGGAAATACTTAGATTAATAGAAATGGGTTAATACTTAAGACAGAGCTAGCTGATAAGAAACAAGTACTGGCCAACAGCATCATATCAAATACAGAGTCTTTGTGTGTTAATTGGGGCTGGCAGAAAAACCTTACTCCTTACACAGCCCCATGAGGGAGCTCACAACGGCCTGTATCTCCAGTTTCAGGGCGTGACACCCTGCTACCACAGGATCTGTACACATGTGCCTTCCACATACACGGCACACACGCATGCACATAAGTTTTTAAAATCTTAAAATGTTTTAGGAAGATTCTGTTTGTCATCTGTCCTCCACACTTTAACTGATTTTTTTTTTTTTGTAAAAAGAAATGAGCTTTTTTAAAAGACTGGAGAATGTGTCAATAAAATAAAAACATCACAGGTGATAAACTATAGGCATGTGACTAACCAAATGGGGAAGTATTCTTTGGCTCAAGAGACTTGATAGAACCTAATAAACACTGAAAGCCAACAGAAAAATGATTCCTAAGATTTAAAACTGATGGATGGGGATCCAGACAGACTCTCCCTATACAGCTCATTCAGTCCCCCAAACTCATCACCCCAACTCAGTTTAAATCTGATGCTACACCTTTTAAAAAAAAATCTGCCCCCGCCAGGGAAAGGTGTCCCCGTATAAAATCGTAATCTCCTCGTTTTGTCCTCTTAAGCACCAGGGTTACTGGTGTGAGCCACTGTGCCCAGCAGAAACCATCCACTTCAAGACTAATCTCATGTATCAGATACTTTTATAGACTAATTATAATTCCTCACTAGAAAACTGAACATAAATGGTATTATTTAGAGAAGAAAAGGCCATGTCGAATACCGGGCATCTCAGCTTAGACCTTCCTATTGTCATCTCAACTCTGAAAGGTGCTTACTTGGATCTGAGCTCTGTTTCCTGCAGTGATGTTAGAAATGGTCCAGCAGGCTTCCTTTCTAATTGACTCCTTTGGACTACCCAACAAGTGCAAGAGGCAGGGCAATGCAGAACAGTTCAAAATTACCTAGATTGGTAAGACAGAAAACCAAAAGGGTCTTAGTATAAATGCAAAATTCCTGAGAATTATAGAAGTATAGAAATCAACCTGAAAAACAAAGAAAGAAATTCTCTCAAGGTAAAATTTAGGCAACTGCTAAATTTACACTCTGCTGCTAACAAAGCTTACCTAATGCTAATATAGTTTCTCACTAGAATGTGAATCAGAGACATGTTCTTCAAATATACAAATTAATGTAATATAGCAATAATTATCTGCATAGATTATGTCTTGAAGATTATTACAAAGTAGGGGACTCATTAAACTAAAGACTTGAAACAGGATCTTTGGTCAAACATAAATGCAAAAATTCAACTTAGAAAATTACTTGAAGAATGCCTTTGTGAGGGAAGAAGCCAGGGTTTAACCTCATTTTCAAAACAAATTACTGTACGATAGTCTTTCTCAAACACATTTCCACAGCATTATAAAAGTTTCCAAGTACAGAATGAATCTGTTCTGTTGTTTTTGCAATTTGGCTTTTATAATGAAGTATTATCTAGTTAGGTGTGTGGCACATGCCTTTAATCCCAGTATGAGTTCAAAGCCAGTCAGAGCTCCTATTGAGACCCTGTCTCAGACAAATCCAGCTGGCGTAGGTATTGTCTGCTTTGTCCTTATACCCACAGCAATGCTGAATTAGTGAGGTGAAAGGGTTGCAGCACCAGTACCTTGAAAAATAGCTAAGTGTAGTGTATTCCAGTATAGAGAGGCGCCCTTAAAATGGGTATCATGAGCCACCAATGCTGACCCGTTTAACAACTTCAGTGAGTATCAAAATAGAACACTAGCCCACATCTGGAGTCAATCTTAACATCTTACCATTCTCCCAAAACAGGCACGTGTACACAGTTTATCACCAATTCTGAAACCATTTCCTTGCTCTCTTTCCTTTGGTCTCATAACCGGGTTCTTACATCCTATAACCTATGTTTAATAAATCATAGCTTCTATTCTAGCTAAGTTTAATGGTTCTGAAACATACCTCAATGGATGAGCCTTTCTCCTTATGACTGTAAATCTCGTGTCACCTGCTGAAGTATTACTCCATTTAGTTCCACCTATCTACAGAAACTACAGACTTCTCACCATACTCATCTTTTTTATAAAGCCTGTACAGCCCTTACTGGATGATCAGCCCATAGCACATGCATCTCCTTGTTAGTTTGCCTTGTTTTAGGTCTCGAGCTTTACTGATTGAGTTAGCTGGGCGCCTTGCTTTATTTCAATGACTTCAACCTAGCTAAGGTGGAATCACACATTAGGCAGACAGACAGCCCAGATTGGAGGCCTCCATCAGGTCCCTCCCCACGAAGCCTACCCTACCAAAGAAGGGGAGGAGGAACTGTGGGAGCCAGAGAGATTGAGCACACCAGAGAACACAGTCCAAACGGCCTGGAGAATTAACTCAGCGGGGTTCATGGTGACTTACAGAGACTGAAGTGGCAGTCACTGAGCCTGCATGAGTCTGTGCTAGGTCCTATATATGTGCTATGGTTGTTGTCTTGGTGTTGGGGGGGGGGGGTCTTACTCTTCTGTCTGTTCTCGGGACCCTTTTCCTTCTACTGGGTGTGTGTAAGGGTTTGTGTCTGGTCTTATGGTACCTTGTCATGCCATGTCCAGTTGGTGTCCCTAGGAGGGGTGGAGGGAGGAAAGCTGCAGTCAGGATGTATTGTATGAGAAAAGAAGAAATTAAAAAGACTCTGAATCCTCTGAGCAGAACACTTCATATATTTTGCACTGACAGGGCCCTATGATAGGACCTTCCCAAAAAGGCAACTGAGGCTGAAAACTGTGCTTACTGCCACAGGTGCCTGTACAATTACAGTAATAAGGCCTTGATGAGCAGATAATCAAGTGATATGAAACAATAATGCTGACAACGTGTTGTAAATTCTGAACTCACCTGTGTCTGAATATCGTCACCAGTCACAATATTACCAACTGCTCTTAATGCAGGTGATACAACTTTATAGTCATTGTGCCTAAAAAATAAAAATATGAGCTCACACACCAATAAGGTAACATCTCTATAAAGTTGAATAATAGTACAGAAAACTTCCATGTTCTTCACTTAAGAGCCCCTACTCAATTTTTACTTACTAATATTTTTTTAAAAAAATCTAAAGCAATATCATAAATGCTATATAACCTCATTATATATTATTGGGTGACATGTTGTATATACTCTGTCTCATTATTATGGTACTGAACTCTACACTAATTAAGATTGTATATTCTGTTATTCTTCACTATTCCCAATTTCTCCTTTATACACAGTATTTGATGAATATGAGACCATGTAAAAGTCCTATTCTTTTACCTATTATAATTACAACATTTCTCCCTTACCTTCTTTCCCTCCAAGCCTACTCATACACCCCTCCCCTCTGTTCTTCAAATTCATGGTCTCTTTTGTCTCAAATTGTTACTGCATGCATATATGTATATGCATACACATGTATATATTCCTAAATATAACTTTTTTAGCCCACATAATGTCACTTATATATATATTTTCAGGGATGACGCTCTTCCCCCATTAGTGTTAGTATCTACATGCTCATTATCTGAATTAGTAATTATTTGTATTTTTAATAATCATTTTGCAATACTATCAACTCAGCCATATCCCTTATGCTATTCACTAATTTATAATACATTACTATAATTTATTCCCAAACTCATGATTTTGTGTGTTCATCTAATTTTTCCTCATTTTAATCCAGTGATTTCTCTAAGAAAGCTACTTCCCTTAAATGAACAGTGATACTCAGAAACCAAGAGTTGTGCCCTCAGCATGCTCATCTTATTTCTAGAGAGGTGTCCCTCGCCCAAAAGCCTTATCGCACATGTGCACCACACATACGTAAATAGATCCTTATTTTGAAAGCCATGAGTTTACGCTGAGGGATTTAATTCTAATCTAACAGCCAAAGGCTTCTTCCTTTCTCATTTCCTGACTAGAAGCCAGCTGCTTTAGTTCACATCCTCCTACATACAGATAATTTGACAAGAGAGGCTACCAGGTCATGAATTTTGGCTCTGAACCTTGTTCTGGCCTGCTTGGCTGCCCACTCTGGTAGAAGTCTTTCTCAAGCGGAGGCCTTGACCATCCCACTGCACCTGACTAGCTTTCACTGACACTGTCCTCATACTGGAACATCAGCCCTTTAACACAACTCTATTCTCTGTGCCATCTGCCTCACTTGGACTAACTAAAGGCTTTCTGTTTTGTTGTTCTGGAGTCAAGGTCTCACTCTGTAGCTCTGGCTGGTCTGGAACTTGCTGTGCCTGAAATGCAGAGATCCACCTGCCCCTGTGTCAAGTGCTGAGACTACAGGCATAAGCTACCATGCCTGGTTTACTACCAATGGCCTTTTGCAATTTTAAAGAAGGTTGGAGGATAAAGAAGCTGTAGCATCTTTTAAACAAAATCTTGTTTTATTTCTTTGCATGGAAAAGCTGTAATTTTCAACAAAGGTAACAACAATTATCCAGTAAGAGAAACATCTCGGAGACACTAAGTGAATCTCCCAGCTCTGTATTCAACTATTGTAAAGAATAATAAACTAGATGATTGGTTCTGTAAAACAGTCACTGTTCTCTCCCTGGTGATGCTCACAATGTCACCTGTGGTACTAACAGACATTCCACACATGCTTGTTAAATTCAGGCTCCCTCTTAAAGAAAAGTTTCATTCATGCAGAGATTAACTTAGAAAATGATTTCCTTGTATTTCAGAATATTCACTGGTGGGCCAGTATATTTAAGGATTACAGCTACTCTGTAAAGAGTAGAGTTAGTGACTTTTTAATTCTTCCTCAAGATGTTGACATTTTGAAATGCTTTAGGCCATGATCTTAACTGTTAATATATAATCACATAACTATTAAGTAAAAATTATAGTTACATCAAAAGTTCCACCAATCTTCGACAGACTCCAGAATCAATGACTACTTGAATTTTATCATTAGGTCCATCAGAGAGATAAGAAAGGGCCCAGCACACATCTGCTAACACATCTGGATCACTGCTAAACAACAACCGTGATAAGACATTTAAACAAGGTGAAACCTGTAAGAAAAAAAAATGAATTAATATTTAATTATTTTCTTTAATATCAAGCTTTCTTAGAAAATGTAGAAATTTAGCTTAAAATCAAAATCTGATACAACAAAAATACCATAGACTTCTTCTATTATTTCAATATTATAATGAGGTATATGAGTATCAAAATGATTGTGGTTGCCATTAACTGGTTACTGAATGAAACATTTTAAAGCAATAAATATGTACTTAGTACTTCTCTTTGATATTTATGCTATTACATATTTAAAAGGCCTAAATGTTTTGTGTTTAAAAATAAATTTAAATTAGTATTTTATTCACTACATGTGCTCAATACAAATAAATTGAATAAACGAGTAGCAAAGGTAAAGGAAATGTAAAACTAAATATTCTGAAGGGCTTTCCAAAACAAGTCACTACTGATAGTATATATTTCTTTTCTTTTTCTTGTTTTAAGATGCTGGGGCTTGAACTCAGGGACCTGCACATGCTTGCTAGCCATAAGACAAGAGTACCTAGCCTGGTCTCAAACCTCAGTCTCTTGACTCCATGTAGGATTGCAGGCATGTGCCACCATATCCAGCTCTATTTCTTACAGTAATGAATAATGCCATATATCTTCAACCAAAACAAAACAAAATTCAACAAGTGTGTTTACATGCACACCTATAATCCCAGTTCTCAGAAGGCTGAGGCAGGAGGATGAAGACTTTGAGGCCAGCCCCCACTACATAATGAAATTCCGTCTGAAACAAACAAAATCCACAGAAAACACCAGCTACAAACACTAGCCTTAACCTGGGATAGGACATCATCATTTAACCCTCTATGTGACTATCAGTGCTGCAGAGAGCACTTTACAGCTCTCAGCGACTGTTTTCAGGGGCTGTGAAACAAGATTCAATCAGGTCAATCCTGTGGTCTTCACTATCTTCCTGTCAGACAGTCCTAGTTCAAACACTAATTGCTAAGCTCTGTGGCATGAAAACGTGACCAATTATCTGTATATCTAAATTTCTTCACTTGTAAAACAGACATAATAAAGAGCTGTTGATGTGTAAGAAAGCATGTGGTAGTTACGAACAATGCCTGGCATACAGGAATTACTCGATATCAGCTCATTTCCCCCATTACCAGTACTGAGCCTCTTCCCAACTTACTCTGAGTTCTGTTAACTGGTAACCTCACATTTCCCTGAATCTAACCCCTCAGACAGGAGATACAGCAGCGGCTTCCATTCTCACCCCTTTCTGTTGAAGATGAGTCCTAAGCCACAGTGGACACCGGGGGTCATGCATAGGTCTGTATTGTTTCCTCATACAGACACACATATAATGTCTTTCTATTTAGCCAAGTTATTTGTCAGGCACTGAAGTTGAAGTTTCAACAATAAAATTAGCATGAATAATTTTCGTTCTTTATAATTTTACGGACAACTGCTTTTTCTCTTACCATAGATTGCATCAACCTCTTTCGCATTTTCACTGAAAAGCACTTCACAGCGTGACAAAAGCTATTTGTAACAGGGTAGGAGAACAGAGGGTTCATAATGGTGCAGGAAGGAATGCAATTTAAAGCTCACAAATTACTTCTTTCCGGATGTCCCATTTGACATGTTTGCAGCAAGAGTAATTGAAAACTCAGAAATCAAAACTACAGAAAACAGCAGCAGTACTTACAGACGTTAAAAATACCGTAAGTTAAAAAAGTTAAAATGTTTTAGTGTTAGTTTTCCCTCCGCCTCTAAAGACAGATCCAGTACATAACTATCTTCCAAAACTGTTTTTACTTTTGCTGGATCCTTCCTCTAAGAGTAACTGTAGAAATTGGCTTACAAAATGCATGTGTATATCCTTAAGTTAGCACAACTGGACCCTTCCTCAATAACCACGCCTCCACCTGTGCTAACAGCTTCCTTCTTTAAAAGGGAAAATGCAGCAAACTGTTTTACATGTGTTTTATTTTTTGTGTGTATGGGTGTTTGCCTACATGTGTCTGTCCATCACTTACGTGCTTGTTGCCCTCAGGGCTGGAAAAGAGCATCAGATCCCCTGGAAAAGGACTAACAGTTGATTGTGAGCTCTAATCCCCCACTGGAACAGTGTTTTATTTGGTTTGTTTGTTTTGTTTTTTAAACAAAAAAACTATAGAGATTTCTAAGTTTAAAAAACTCAGGACAGCTGATATATACATTTTTGTGGAATTAAAAATCAAAGAACTAGGGTCAGGTGTTGTGATATATGCCTTTAATCACAGCATTTGGGAGGCAGAGGCAGGTGGACCTCTGTGAGTTTCAGGTTAGCCAGGGTTACACAGCCAGACTATCTCAAAAACAACCAACCAAACAAGCAAACCCACAGAACTCTAGAGTTTACACAAGCAAGCCAAAACCAATTCAGCTCCATAGTTCTGTCAGAAACAACAAACACTAAGTTACATTTATCTTTGAGGGGATCAGTAGATACTTAAAATCTACTTAGTCATTGCTCACAATGACTAATAAAAAAAAAAAAAACTGACAAAGACAAAACAAAACAAACAGAAAACCAACAACCAACAGTTAAAGAAGGAAGCACCAGAAGAAGCCAATTTATTCCCCAGTGCCTTTAAAGATAAATGCCTTAAAAATGGGCCCAGTGCCACAGAAGACAGGAGACAGAGATGCACGGAAAGACAGAGCATGTGAACAGAGCTCAGCCTCTGTGTCCTACAACAGGGAGGTAACTAGCGTGCAAAGGCAAACGTTGGGTTTTATTTTAGGACAAAGGAAAAACAAAATGTGAACCATGCAAAGGGAGTAGGTGTCAAGCAGAGTGAAGCTAGAAACACAGCAACGAAGTGATCAGAAACCAGGGAAATTATTTAGGTATTCCCCACTGAGTGTGACCACCTTCCTTTCATTACCCAGTTCCCAGCACTCCAGGAGCTGGCTAGCTGTGGTATCTACGCTGTACCTTCTCTTCTAGCAAAAGAAGGCAAGATTGGCCTCTGGAAAACACAATACATCCAGAAGACACTCTAAATGAAGTTCCTTAAAGATAATAAGGTTTTGCTGTAAATGTAAACAATGTGGCGTTTACATTTTAATGGGAAAAGATTTACTTTAATATAAATAATATAGTATGTCAAAAGAAAAGAGCATAAGATAATGGGGTGAGCACACTTCAGGACAGTTATAACAGATTACAATATCAATATCAGTCAGCAGAGAGCTCACAGTCACCAAGCACTTCATAAGCAAAGGTGACAATCAGCCCAGATGCTGCTGAGACACAGCACTGGACTCACTCACTGCTCTTGCAGAGGATGGAGTTACCCAGCACCCTACCAGGTGGCTTACAGCTAAAACTTCTGACACACTCTTGTGGCCTCCACAGACAGACAGAGACACATACATACAAACGAGCATCTTAAGGAAGAAATGAGTCAAGTTTTTGTAAGAGGCAAGCAGCTCGTGAGATAGAACAGCGCGCACAGTAGGTCAACGGGGCGCAGGGAGAAGAGATTCCTCAGACATTTTCAGTGGTTGTGTGACCTCAAAACTACTTTCGTAATAATAGTAAAATATTTTTTACTTTGTCAACATTTAACCTAATGGATAAAAAGTAAGTGGCGGGTAAACTGTTGGAACCTGGACACAATTCAGAACAGCACTAGCAAGATGCGCTACATGCCAGTATATTCTTCATCTCTAGCAAAAAGGGAGGTTTGCAAGAGCCCAGTTAAGAATCACCTTGAACTATCTGTAAAAATACAAATCTCAATAAGCTCACTCCTTGCACTCATATCTTACATGAGTAACTTCTCATGTAATTCATGGGAAACAGCTACATAGCACTTCTACTCACACAAGGACTGGGGTGGTCTGAACAAGCACTCTCGTGACTGAATTACAGACTGGATTAGACACGTCCCTACTGAACTCCATTTCTACTTGAGTGATTGAATCCTTATTCACTCTGAAGTAGCTAGAGGGTATTTTAGAAAATATAATCAAAGTGAGACTATCATTCTAAAAACCAATGATAATTTATACATTTCAAAAATTAGAATTTTGGCACATGACTTTAATCCCAGCACATGGGAGGCAGAGGCAGGTGGGTCTGTGTGAGTTCAAGGCCAGCCTGGTCTACAGAGTGAGTTCCAGGACAGGCTTCAAAACAATACAGAGAAACCCTGTCTCAAAAAACCAAAAAAAAAAAAAAAAAAAACTTAGAATTTCAGAAAACTTGCATCTTCCTCTTTTGAGTCCGACAGCTTCCTAGTACTGAAGGTAACATACACACACGCACACGCACACATTTAAGGGACCATATTTTCCAAGTGGCCAAAGCACAATGTTGTAAGATCATGTGTGAAAAAAAAGACTCTTCAAAATCAACTAAGACTGATGGACTTTCGTGTAGTAGAGAAGAAAAAGTTCAATGTTGGGGTATATAACTCCTCAATGAGAGGACTCTTACGGAAGTGCCACTCAGATGGGATTAGGTGACACATGCCTTTACCCCAAACGCTTGGGAGGAGCCAGGTGCAGCTCCTTGAGTCCCAGGGCAGCCTGACCTACCGTTTCTAGCCCAGCAGGAGTTACACAGTGAGACCTTGTCTCAAGCATACCACTTCAAGTTTGGTATAGTATCAAAGAACATCCATCAACTATCCAAAAAACCATCACCATCTTCAGCTAAAACAACACAGCACAGCAAACTAGTACAGAGAAAGAAAAGAGACCTGCAACCCCAGCACTTTAGAGGCATAAATCTAGCTTGAGCAACATGGTGAGAGCCTATTAAAAAAAGCACTGTCTGGGATGTGGTTCACATCTTCATCTCCAGCACAGGGGAGGCAGAGACAGATGAATCTGTCTTTTGAGATCCAAGACAGCCTGATTCCCCGTTAGTGTCAGGCCAGTCTCAGCTACACACTAGATCCTGTCTCAAAACAACAAAAGGCCACCACAAAAGGTCACCAGACCCACACAGAACACACACCCTCAGGACTACTCTTCTTATAAAATTCTTCTTCTTTTGAAACATGCATTTTGTAGAAAGTATTACTGAACACGTAATTGGCTTATTATTGTTATAAATTCATTAATAAATATTTAAACTTTATATAGTTTATATTTTTTAGTTAGTATTATTACATAAATCACATAAAAAATAATCTGGATTCTATGGCAGCTTGAATGACAATGGCCCCATAGGCTCACATCTTTAAAGACTTGGGCCCAGATGGTGGACCTGGAACTGTTTTGGAAAGGATCAGGGAGTGTGGCCTTGTTGGAGGAGGTGTGCCATTCCCAGTGCACTCTGTGTCCTGCTTGTGGATAAGGATGTGAGCCCTCAGTCTCTGCTCTAGTCACTGTGTCTGCAGCTTGTCTACTCTGCTCCGACCTCATGGGCTCTAACTACATGAGCCCGAGGAAACACTTTCTTCTATAAGTTGTCTTGGTCACCGCAACAGGAAAGTCCCTAATACCAATGGAAGGAAGTCCTAAAGCCAAAAATATTAAAAATCATGTATTCGTTCTAAAGTAAAGCATGCTGTATGAATCTGGGGCACAGCAAATAGTCTAGTCAGGCCAGAGAGTAGAGAGACGGCAAACAGACGTGAGTCAGGGAGATCACAGTGGGCTGGTGTGTGACAATTATTACAGGGTATTTAACAAAACTATCTTGTTCTCTGGATAAAACAGAGAAAGTCACTGGGAACAGAGGGGTGGTTTCAAATTTGTAAATTACTCTTGCAACTTTCCTGGTGATAACAAAAAAATGATAGCTGGTCAAAAAAATAAATAATAAGAAAAGGGCGATTTGCAATAAAAAGAAGATTACTGCAATAACCCAGGTGATAAAGATACTGCATTCTACAGTATGAGGGTAGTATTTCCTTCCTCAATATATTACTCTGGACAACTTCAAGCCTACATAAGCTTTGCACAAATAGCAATCAACACCAACATGCTGCTTCCAGATTCACCATACTAAATTTTTTTAGGTTAAAAAAGGTATTCTGATCCATGATCTAATCAAAACTTAAATAATTATTTTTTAAAGATGCCTTAAAAATACACATTTATTATGGTAATACAAACAAAAATTTATATAATTAATATATTTATTTATTTTTGGTATGTCAGTTTGCACTGTAAAAATGTATACAATTGAATATCCAACCATATAATCAAATTACAAAATCCTAAACCATTCTAAAAACTTTCCTTTTGCCCCTTGGTGGCCAGTTTTCTCATCTCAGACATTCCCCAATATGATTTTTATTCTTTTAGATCTCTTTTCTAAAGTATGTGAGATGAAACATTTATACGCTCCTTTAATTTACCTTAATGCTTTTGAGATTGAAGCATGCCTAAGTAGTTTGTTCCTTCTTACTGCTGAGTTGTAGTTCACCAAATGAACAAGCCGTAATTAATTTATCCATATACCAACTAAGGAATATGTACAACTTCTGGTTGTATTTTTTGCAGTTATGAGCAAGGCGCTGCCCTAAATATTTGTATGCAGACCTTTTTATGGTTGTACTGTTGAATTTCTTTCATAAAGTACCAGTCAGTGAAAATGTTAGATGATTTATCCCAAAGTCTCTGTGTCATCTTCCATTTTCCATTACCTAACAGTGGATCTGGACAAGTGGATCTGGACAATTACCTTAATTGTATGGTGGTTGGAGGAACAACTTCAATTTCCTATAAATGAAAAGAAATAGACTACAAACATTTCTAATTCATCTGTAAGACATACAGATATCTGGGTATAGTTGAGCTTCTGGCCAGAAGAACTAGAAGCAAAGGAAGAGCAGAAATCTATAAAATTTATTTAATTTCCTGAATGTATAAACAAAAGAGTCTACTCAACCTCAAAAAAAAAATCTTACCATAAATTTATTTATGGAAACAGATTTCTTAACTTGTTTAATTCACTCGTACCTTACTAAAATTTGGAGGAGGGTTTTTGCCTCTACATAAATTTGAGAGGGCCCATACAGCATTTCTGGTGGTTGTAAGTCTGTTTGAATTTGTTAATAACCTGCCAAGAAAAGAAAAGAACTGTCATTTTATATTCACGTCTCCATTTCAACTATTTTCTTGTAATAACTGAATTCTCTTTGGTAGACTTTATAAAATATTTAAACTAATAAAGCAGAAAAGGAACTTAAAATTCATTATCGTTTCATTAGAAATACTGTAGTTCTATTTTCTCAAGTCTGAATCTAAGATCTAAACACTTAAATAATAATAGACTGACGATAATAGATGTCAGAAGAGATGTACAAGGTGATTTTTGTTAAAATAATGAAAATACTATATCATACAAAATCAGAAAACAGGAAATATAGTGTCAAATTAAGTGAAGGTCAGCTATGGGCAAAGGACTTTCTTTGTTTTTATTTTATTGGATCTTACAATGTGTTTTTAAAACTGGTTTGCAGTGACTCCTGATAGATGCAAAGAAACTGAAACTGAGTGTCTGAAGTAAGAATGTCTCTTCTCCCTAAGAAGTTACTAACAGTTCCCCATGCACACATCATAATACTTCCTTATTTTGGAGGTCTGAATGAGCCTGCCACCCATAGGCTCATATATTTGAATACTCAGGTTGCCCCCAACTGGTGGCTGTTTGGGAAGGATTAGGAGGTGTGGCCCTGGTGGAGGAGGCGACCAGTGGGGGATGGACTTGAGGGTTCAACAGCATCCCTCCCTCCACCCCAGCTTAGCTCTGCCTCCTGCCTGTGGCCTGGGATGTGAGTTCCTAGCTGCTGCTCCAGCCACCATGCCTTCTTTCTGCCAGGACAAATTAACTTAATGAAACTGCAAGCCCTGCTCAATTAAACTCTTTCATAAGATACTTTGGCCATGGTATTTTAGCACATCAATACAGACGTGATGCAATTATTTGTTTTTTGTTAATTTATGTTAATTACGTCTAAACAGGAGACTTCCAAGGTAGTGAGATGACTCAGCGGGTAGGCACTTACCCCCAAGCCTGACAACTGGAGTTCCATGTGCAGGACCCCCATGATGAGGACAGAGAACTAACAGCTGTCCTACGATCCCACAGCCACTCACTAAGTGAGTAATGCCAGATTCCCTAATGCAGCATTTTTTTTTTTTTTTTTTAATTTTTAGGGAGGTATGGATCCTGGTGACATCAAACTAGTTCTTTGTATCTTAGAAAAAGAGCACACATCAAAATTAGCCAGGTAATTTCAGGAGTTTATTGAGCTGCTACAGACCTTCACAAGTCTGCTAGAAATACTGACAACCTACACTGAAAAAACAAACAACAACAACAACAAAATACCATTTTGTAATGACATTAGCAGAAGTGGTGAAGAGGGGAGCCCTGGGAAGCTTCTCCCTCCCTAGAAGCACCACAAGCAAACCACAAACAACAACAGCACATTGCCAACACTGTCCTTACCAGCTCTGTCAGAATTCTGGAAGATACTCAAAGTTTGTAGCCATGGAAGGACTAGAATGTATCAGTGAACTTTTCTAGTGTTTTCATTCATCCTTGCTCAAACTCATCTCTCTAGCCTGGTGCCAACTTTAAAACGGTATTTTCTTTGCCTGGAGGGTCCACGCTCCAGAGGAAGAAGAGCAAGTGCTTATGCACATGTTGCCACCTTGGTGGGCATTCTGAAAAATGGATGCAATGTGTGCATGTCTTTATTTTGCCTGAGAACTCTCTAAGGTGGAAAAGTAGCAAATGACTCAGTAAAAAGCAGAAACTGGGAGACATTGAAACATGGACAGAAAAACGAAGGAGTGAAACCCTCTGGGGGAACAAGCCATATCTAGATTAGCCTCACATCTTCTGTCAGAGTACACATTCAGGAAAACACCTGGGAAGGCCCTAGTCATCCGCCTGACTTCCAGGCTTAGCATAAACACAAAGTAAGAGCTGAGTCACAGCAGTATCTGCTGCAGCTAAGCACCACAGGGCTGACAGCATAACAATTTTCAGAACATCTTTTCTTCAAAGACTGGAGAGTCAGCTCAGCCACTCAGAGCACTTACTGCTCTTGCAGAGGACCCAGGTATGAATCCCAGCATCTATCTATATGGTGCTTCACAACCAGTTCCAGAGGACCCAACTACTCTTTCTCGATTTCTGCAGACACCAAGTACACACATGGTACACAGGCATATATGCAGGCAAAACACATAAAATAAAATGAATGAAACTAATTTTCAAAATCACTCCCTTCTTCTTATGCCTCCAAACATTTAAGATGATGTTAAACCATAAGCCCCAGTAAGTTAAAGGGACAGAAACACAAGAGACTACAAAGTTAACTCTAAAACATTTAAACAAGCAACTATAATAAAGATCATTAGAATCCAAGAGAGGATAATCTGAGTTGTATTTTAATCAAAATGTGCAGTTTTCAACAAGGATACAAAAAGGAAATACAAACAAACAAAAAGAATTGGACATAGGATTTCATCATAAATGCTTTGACTCTATTATTTTAAACATGCCCAAGAAATACTAAACTAAAAACTAAAGGATTCTTAAGAATGAAAGGAAAACAATAAAAAATACAAAATTATCAATATGGAAATTATAAGACTAACAGAAATTACATGTTTCAATAGCAGCACTGAATGGGCAGAAGGAATCCATGTATTATCCCAAGGCAATCCAATTCAATGACAGAGGGTCCCAGAAATAAACGGAAGACAAAAACATAGAATATCCACGAGACATAATCAATCCTACCGATATATGCATAAGAGAAGTATAAAAAGAAGAAACAGAGCAGAAAGAGTATTTTTATCAGCAAACCAAGACAGTGGGAACTCTAAGAAAGAAACGGAAAGAAACCCAGGTTGGGACACACAATGGAATTCTCAAAGGCCTATGCGGAAAATGCCAGCTGTGAAGAGACAAAAGCAGCCCATCATGTGTACAAAGGCTCACTGGTGATTTTGTTCACAGTTGCTTCCTCGTTAACTGTAAAGGAGGAAGAGGTAACGGGGTGATGTATTTTCAGAGTCACCAACACATCTATAATCAGCATCTCTTTGTCAAAGCTTCAGGAAAAAGCAGGGACTCCTTGTCAATTTGATGTCAAGGAAGGACATCAATGGTTGGTTTGCTTCACAAGATTGGCTAAAGGAAATATTTCAGGCTGAAATAAAAAGCCAATTGAGAACAGCTAAAATAACACAAATTAAAGATCATGACATATGTAAATGAACAAGGAGCTTTTCCCTATGTGACTTACAGACAAACACAGCAAGAGAACACAGGATATAATGATTCAACTGTGGCAGTAACAACTTAAGGAAGGACAGGAGAATTTTGAATAATTTTTTAACGAAATTAATGAAAGTTCCAGACAAAATTGTTGTTACATTTAAGATGATAATTATTTTACTTCAAATAATTAAAAGGAAAATGACTTTATACAACTTGAAGCCATCAAGGAAAAAAATGGGCTTATAACAAGTGACTCGCTCTGGCTTCACTACTGCACATTATGAGAATTAAGGGAGAATTCAATATTTCTCAAGCACTCTGAAGTCTATCTGGACAATGTCACCCTCAGAGCAAAGATAAGGACATCACAACAAACTTACAGACCACAGTAGTGAAGTAGTACTTAACAATTCAGTGGCCTGCAAGCAGCTGGTTATTAAGCTTATCTGTATTAAGTCATGCCAAGAAATCATTTCTGTGTTGTTGTTTATTAGAACGGGTTGAAAACTAGTCTAGATGTTTCAATTTAGTGTTTTTAATTCTTTCTCAGAAAAGGATGGAGAATGCCAGAATGATAATTATTTCTTTCTCTAATCATCTCTTTGATTAGCTTTTTTTCTTTTATACTTGTCACTGACATTTAACCTAGAGACCCTTTCAGTGAATATTAATTACCCTGTATAAAGAATCTCTTTCAAACAGTTCTCTGACTTTTTTTAAAAAGTATAATATATTTTTAAATGTCAAGCAATGAAAACCCTTAGCAGGTAGGAGCACTTGCTGCTCTTCCAGAGTTCAGTTCCCAGGCCCGTCTCAGGCGGCTCACAGCACTGTAACTGCAGTTCTACAGGCTCTGACGCCCTCCTCTGTCCTCGGGCACCTGGACTCACATGAACATGTGCCCAACAGACACATAAATACAGTTAAATCTTTTAAGTGAAGCAGCCAGAGTAGAAACCACTTGCTCACTCACTGTAAGTAAAAAGTAATTTTAAAGCACTAAAATAAAAATCTCTTATGGTCATTGTTCTTCGGACATTTCAAAATCAAATACAAAACTCTGCAGATATCATAAACACAATTTGTTTAAGTATTAAAGATTCCATTTTAGAGGCCCTAGAAAGACAGTGCAGTGGCTAAGAGCATTTGCTGTTCTTGCAGAGGACCTAAGTTCAGATCCTAGTTCACAACTTCCAATATATAACTCTAGTTTCAGGGATCTGACACCCTCCTTTGGCCTCCATGGAAACTGCAGTCAAGTACACATACCCCATCCCCAAACACATACACAATATATACTTAATATTTTCAATCTTAAAAACGTGTTCATGCTATGGGGCTGCTTAAATGTTATTATGTTATCAAGTAGTACATGTTCTTGTTAGAATTACTTTAGCACTGAAGGCATCCAGTAAGTGATGACTACTAGTAAGTACTGATTAAGAGAAAATAGAAGACTGTGTATGTGTGTGTGTGTGGGGGGGTGTACATGCATGCGTGTGTTTCAAGACAGGGATTTTCTGTGTAGCACTGGATGTACTGGAATTTGTCTGTAGTCCAGACTGGCCTCAAACTCACAGGGATCTGCCTGCCTCTGCTTCCCAAGTATAGGGATTAAAACTCCACCACCTCCTGGCATCATAAAAGCCATTTTATAAAGAGTACAAATTGATTTTTTTTTTCCTGATTTTTACCTACTTTCAGTAACGTTAGGTCTGGCAAACTGTAAGTAAAAGGAAATGGACAAACACACACACACACACACACACACACATAAAATATCTTTTCAAATGTGAAATGAACTTAATTCAGGTAAACTGAAATAAAATACTTACTCTAAAAGAGGTGGAAGTATCTCACAATTCAAAACAAAATCCCTGCACTCGGCACTGTCACCAGCAATGTTACCAAGCGCCCAAACAGCCTGAGAAAAGTTAAACAGACAGTGGTTTCCAAGCACATGCGAAAAGGAAAGGAAACTTTATATGAAATGCTATAATATTTTAATCATAAGATAAGGGCACTTAAAAGTTTCCCTTACATTCTAGTACATTCTAGTACTATTCAAAGAAGAGCTGAAGGACTATCTATTTCCAATCTACCAAGGCAGACAAAATATATCTAGCAAAATTTCTAATTACTTATACTAGAAAATTGTTCCTGTGCCAAGAAATCTAGCTAGAATGGTACTGATTTTTTAACGAAAGAGAAAAATACATAGACAAAGTATAAATAATAACTAAGATGAGAATTTGATTATCACTAAGAAATTTATTTAAGATTAATCAGTTTAGCACAATTTTAAAAAGTAAATGGTAGTAAATGTTAATTATATAAGGAACAACACAAATGAAAATTACCATTTTATCATAGTCTCACTGTAAAGTTTTCATGAAATACAAAAGTATATTATGTTTTCAACTGGGAAAGTTTTTTTTTAGAATTTAAAATATGAATTATTATTATTTTTAACCTCTACTTGAAACCTAAGATTAAAAATTAAAGAAAAAAAAAAAGGTTTAAGAGACAAGGAAAAATGCTTTAAAGATAATTCTTACTATCTGAAATGAACACATTACCAAGAGGGGGCAGATGTAGTGATGTGTGCCTTTTATCCCAGCCAGCACCTAGGAGGCAGAGGTTGAGTGGCTCTCTGTGTGCTTGAGGCTATCTATGGTACACAGGAAGACCCTGTCACCATGTCTTAAAAAGAATGTATGTTCTCTCTCTCTACCATTTTTATATTCTTTGCCAGGGCAGTCCCTTTTCCTTAATAAAACAACCAGGTAACCCAGAAGCACATAAAAACAAGACACAGCTAGAAATGGCAAATACACAGTTAAGGACTAGATAATGAATTACTGAAAAATATGAGTTTGTGCTGGGTAACTGGTAACATATTTTTGGAGGAGTAACCTCATTAAGAAAACTTTCCAATATTAGTGATAAGTGGATACAAAATTTCATGAAACTAAATGAGGAATGAAATAGGAGATCAACAGATAAACATATACAGCAAAAACAAAAGTACCCAAACCTTGAGTTTCTTTGGATGATCTATTTAATCATGCTATCTAATTTTCCCTCTTAGAAGAAAAGTTTAAAAATTTAAAAATTCAATGCAATACAATATTTTTAAAAGCAACAATAAAACGCGCCCTGTTATGCAGAGAGTAAGTCAGAGCGTGGCAAACGTGAGCCTTGCAGCCACCCACGGTGCCCTCGGGGACACCCCTTTTATGTCTCACCGTGCTCTCTCATGCACAGACAGCGGTCCTATGCTGAGAACATGCTCACCAATAACCTGGAATATGGCTAAAGCGGTTCTTTTTTTACCCACTTCAAATCTGAGACTGAAAGAAAAAAATTAAAGTATCTTATATAAACGTTAGGCTGATTAGGAATAAAAATAAGTAGAAGTCAAAATGACAAGTAGTATTTTCTAGAGAAAATTAAAATCTCTATATATACAACGAGCTGCACAAGTCAAGGACTTACCTGTTCCTGAACATCTTCGTGCTCTGAAGTGAGGAGTTTGATGAAAATCGGAACAGCTCCAGTATCGATCACCACCTTGGTGTGCAGGAAAGTTCCAGACGCTATATTAGTCAGTGCCCAGGCAGCTTCAAACTAAGGAGAGAAAAGGGAAATGAATGAAATGTCACAAAGGACAAGGAGGAGGAATAGAGTAAAAACAAAACCTGATAAGAGGCTGACTTAGGATTATGAAAAGACACTGAGAAATTAGGTTTACGGATGGAAACCTTATTTCAAAAAGCAAAAGATTCTTCAGACTATATAAATAAATACCAAAAAGGGGAATATTTTATAATGCCAAAAATACATAAACACAACTTATTTAACTCCACATGTTTATTATTTCAGAGTGATATTCTAAAGGAAGCTGTTCAAAAATACATAAGATATACTTACAAAGTGAAAGAATCATAAATGCTAGTTGCTTCCAGGGAGATCATGTCACCCCAGCCTTATTTAAGAAGATAAAACGTAGAATGCCAGACATTTAGGTATTTGTTCAATATGAAGGTTTTAGTACTAACAGAGGCCTACGGTTTGCTAATCTTTCATAAAACAGAACCTCTGGGGGAAAAAAAAAAAAAAAAAAACCCAAGGATATACTTTACATTTCACATCAATGGAGATGACAGCCCTCATCAGTCAAAAATAAGGAGGAAACAAATGGCAACAGAAATCAACTCTAAGTTTACAAATTTCTCCTTGATGTCCCCTAAGAAAATGCATTAGTGAAGACTGGAATGTGCTAGTAAAGTCACAAACCTACTGAAGGACTGGGGGGTGGGGGAATGGAATGCACAGCTATGATTTTAAAGGCAGGAGAAGGTGGAGTGATGGCTCTGTGGTGGTAAAAATGTGTGCTCTTACAAGGACCCATGTTTGATTCCCAGAACAAAACATGGGGGCTTACATTGCCTTTAACTCCAGATATAACGCCTCCAGCCTCTGAGGGTGGTGGCACTCATGCACAACATATCCACGTGCACAAACACAACTGAACTGTGTGATAGTGATGGTAACTGTTTTGATTTGTTAAAAATGTAAAATAGCTGAATATTCATTTGAAGTCCCCCAGTTTTCAAAAGCCTCTGATCTACTTCACATGTTTTAAAATGTGTGCATGCCTAATAAAAATTGCCTATGGGACAATGTGTCCCACAGAAGCCTAGTTTGAACTCAACTAATGGTCTAGACTAGCAGATTAATGCCCACTTTGGTAACAGTATGGGGCTATCTCCAAATTATACTGGTGAATTTCATTGGGATCGAATAAAGATTTGAATTCCCCATGTCCTTGCACACACACCACCCTGTGCACACCTGCTATGTTCTCACGTGGTACCACACCACCCTGTGCACACCTGTTATGCTCTCATGCACTATTCCTTACTTCATCCCCAGTCAACCACTCCAGTCTCTGTTCCCAGAGCATTTCTCCCACAGCTCTGCTACCATGCTAAGCACACTGTGCCATTCTTATCTCTCTGTATGTTTACTTCTGCAAAGTAGCTGAGCTTCTATAAGCAGGAACAGTTAAGTTTGGACCTACACAATACCTTATACAGAGCCTGTCTCTCAAGCTAGTACTCAATTTTTTATTTATTTATATCCACTCATTTCTTCTTTCATTCACTGTAAGTAAAGAGCCAAATAATAATAGATTTCAGAGACCCGAGTTTTAGTCTGAACTCACAGCTTAGATAAAGCAGAGACTAAAACCTATTACAGAGTCAGGCAGACTCTGATTTGAAATTCTAGACAAATTTTTTCACATTTACCTGTATTACACATTCTTTTGCTTATGCCTAAAATTGGGGCCTTTCCCAAACTGCTCCTCAGACAAGTGAACCATTACCGCCAATTACACTACAGTACACTGTGGACAACAGTCTGACTCTAGAATATACACAGACATTAACTTGAGAGAGTTTAACCTCTTTTTACAACATTGAAATGTTTGCAAACTCCACTAAATTATCATCAGTAGCAAATGATTTGGGAGATTTTAACCACATTAGGGTTCAGAGATAATTCTCTCTAGAAAAAAAAAAAGTAACTTTGGCCACTTTGTATTTTTTTTTTTTTTTTACCAAGTTACTCCACACTACCAGGGACAGACAAACCTTGGTGAGTGTAAGGCTAGGGCTACACAGGAAGGAAGGAAGGAAGGAAGGAAGGAAGGAAGGAAGGAAGGAAGGAAGGAAGGAAGGACTGAGTTTAATAATGGGATTAACACTTTAGTGTGAGTTTTCTAGAGAAGATAGATATCTACAGAATTTCATTAACATCAGCTGATTTTATGCTTCCCAAAACTGTTGAACTGTAGCTGTGCCTTAGCCAAGAGTGACACAAGTTTTTTCTTTATTGTCAAGTGCTTAGTGATGCTTAGTTAGCACGGGAGCCGCTTCTGCTAGAAACTCAGCCACTCCTAGGACATTACGAAAGAAAATTTCAGACTCACTTGTAAAGTACAATTTTCATTTCTTTCAAGAAATTTCACAAATCTCTGTACAACTCCTGGTTTCTGTATAACTTGATCTATTGGTGGATTGGGTTCTAAGATTTAAAAAAAAAGAAAGGTTGTTACATAAACACAGAAAGACAATGAACTGATCCTTGTATCTTTTCCTTGTGCTGTGATAAAATTTCCCAACAAAAGAACCTTAGAAAAGTCCGTTACAGTCCCTCATAGTAGAGAAGTCCCAGTGGCGGCAGCTTCAAGCACCTGGTTACACACTTCATCCAGAGAGAGCAACAAGCCGGCTCTACTCAGCTCTCCTCCCATTTATACAGTCAGGGAATGGTGTGTGGGTCTCCCCATCTCAGCTAAAGGAATCAAGAAAATCCTTCACAGGCATGCTCCCAGGCCGGTCTCCTGGGTGATATCAGACTTTAACAAATTGGCAAGCACTACAACTCTTATAGGTGGCTTATAGTAAATAGTTTCCCTAGGTTTAGCTGATCTAAGTTTACACTCTTAGCTGGATGTAACTGCAGATAAGTTCTCATTACTGCAATACTTTCTATAAAACAAACTTTTTCATTAATTGTAATGATAAGAAATTAAAATATATTTCCCAATATGAAATATACTTAAGAGATCATCCTTACAAAATGGGAGAATTTGGGTTCAATATTCACAATACCGAGAAAGTCCCCACTAAAATCCTTTATAGCACTACCCATGATTTCCAAGGATGTTACTGCAGTGGGATAATCCTTCTGGACACTATGAATATGTATTACTCCCACAGGTTAATAATAAAGCTGATTTGGGCTATCAAAAGGCAGAATAAGGATTGGGGGAAAAGCCAAACTGAAAGTACAGAGGAAGAGGGGTGGAGTCAGGAGATGCGAGCCAGCGCCAGAGGAACAGGATGTGCTAGAGGTCAGGTAAAGCCACAAGCCAATAGACAAAATGCAGATTAACGGAAATAGGTTAATTTAAGTGGTAAGTGCTAGCTAGTAATAAGCCTGAGCTATAGGCCAAACATTTTGTAATTAATATAACCTTTCTGATTTTAAATTTAAAGGACAGAAATTCTGTGGGGTTTTGAGGATGGGAGACGAAAGCATAGGATGTGTGGTTAGAAGGCACTGAACCATCCACCACATCAGTATCTACAGGTAAACACCGACACTGCTAATGTCAGTGACATAAGAACACAAATGCAACCTCTTCTGGCAAAGTTCACTTTTTATCACTCCATCTAAAAGAAGTTAAATATGTGCACTAGAATTATCAGCTACATACCATGAACTGCTATTAATATTAATGTCACAAGAAGCTAGGCATGTGTCAAAAACAAATCTTGAAAAGGAATATAATGGAAAAAACCTGAGTCAGACAAAATAAACATGCACTGCAAAAACATACTAAAATGCAGATATAAAAAGAAGCCATTCTTAGCCAGGCAGTTGGTGGTGCATGCCTTCAATCCCAGCACTCGGGAGGTAGAGGTAAGTGGATCTCTGTGAGTTCAAGGTCAGCCTGGTCTAAAAAGCTACACAGAGAAACTCTGTCTCAAAAAACCCAAATAAATAAAGAAAGCCATTTTTGACTGTGTAAGTATTTCTAAACATTACTGGAAGATGAAGAATAATATACAAAAGTTAAATGTACTCATAAAAAGTAAAATCTATTTGGTAACTTTTATTAAATGTTTTACATTTATTTTAAGTGGTGTGTGTATACATGTTCACACATGACTGCATGCACTATGCAAGCGTAGCAAACAGGACAGCTTTTGGAAGGAGAGTCCGCTCTCTCCCTTCAAGCATACAGGTTCTAGGGCTCAAGCTCAGTTCACAGACTTTCTTGGCAAATACCTTTACCCTCTGAGTGCTCTTGCAGGCCCCTATTTTATAACTGCATATAATGCACTTACTCTTATACATAAGACAGGAAGACAAGCCTTGGAATCCATGATGACCAAACCACAGATTTCATTTCCCCCTCAACTAGTAAACATTATCTTTCTTGGGAAATTGAGGCAAGTGATTCGGGTCATCTGCTAAATCTTAACAGTTTTAAAACTCCTTATAATTCAAATTACCAAATCTATAAATTATACATATGAGATAATACTAATATTAACTGGATAAATAAATTGACCATGTGAACAACAAATGGTCAGAATTGGGTACATCTGAACTCCCAGCACTGGGGAAGGTAAGGCAGGAAGATGGAGAGCTTGGGGCCAACCTCACCTACACAGTAAAACCTACTCTCCTTCAACTCAAAACTGAACAAATGAAAAGTTTCTAAAAAAATATTTCTATAAGGAATTATAGCCTTATTTATTGGTAACAAAATTATTTTTATATTTGCTACTTTGGATTCTTCTGCAATGTGTTTATTTTTATAATATATTTTTTAAAAGATGACACTTTAAAATACTTTCTTTTTTTTGGACAGGCTCTCTGTGCAGCCCTGGATGGCTTGAAACTCATGGTGTAGACCAGGCTGGCCTCCAGCTCACAGAGATCCGCCTGCTTCCACCTCCCAAATGCTGGGATGAAAGGTGAGCACAGCCAAGCTGGGTGCTGAGGCAGGTGAGCTGACATACATGAGTTGGAGGGGGCCAGCCTGACTCGCCCAGGAAGCTCTAGCTATCCGATGTTAGACAGAGACTCTCTCAAAGGAAGAAAGCAAAATGCAACAAAGGAGCACACAACCACACCAGGCTAAACTACACTTAAGAGAGATTACGACCTGTCTCTGCCAAAAAAAAAAAAAAAAAAAAAAAAAAAGGAGGGGGTAAGAGGGGGAATTTAAGTGTTTCAAAATTTTAAGAAAGATAAGTCTCTCCCATAAAATTGCAATACCAGACAGACACTTGAAATAACTCTTGCCTTTAGACAGCAGCTTTCTGAATTTCTGTGTTGCTGTCAGTTGCTGTTCAGCGTTGCTAGAGAACACCATCTGAAGCATATCGGCGGTGATCACTTCTTCCTAAAACACAAAAAATATAATTAACATGCAAACATTTCACATGAATATTATTCATATTACTTGTTGCAGATACTGTCTCTGAAATATCATACGCATAATACAAACAAAAACACATTTTGTACAGTATACCTCTGGAATGGGCACAGTGGAACTGATATCTGGGTCCTGGATGGGGCTCTCTAGCATGCAGTCATCATTTCTGGGCAAAGAGACATTTCTGCGCTTGAACAACTGCAACAAAGAGAGATTATTTTATATACCGAGTTTTCCAAAACAGTCAACTGTCATAGGCTTCTTACGAGTTAACAAAATGGTTTTTAAAATTCAAGACACTCAACACACAGTTACATTTTATAGGACCTGAAAAAGCACATATTTCTTTATTCAATCACTAACTATTGGAGGATTTTTCTAAGAAAATCTTTATTATGGACTGGAGAGATGGTGCAGTGGTTAAAAGTGCATACAGTTCTTGCAGAGAGTCAGAGTTAGAGTCTCAGCACCACTGTTGGATCCCCAGTACACAACATGGACAACTTATAAGCATTTATACCTCCAGTTCTGGGGCATCTGATACCTTTGGTTTCTATGGGCAACTTCACTCCTGTGCACATACCCTCACACAGACATATACATACACACATAATAAATTTAAAAGTCTTAAAAAGAGAAATATTGACTTGAAAAATGAATCACACAGTATAAATAGTCTGCTACAGAGCTAATATAGCCAATTAACAAACAATAGGAAGCTGGGTGTGGTGGTGCATGCCTGCAGTCTTAGAACCTTAGGTAGAAGTAGTAGAACTCAGTTACAAGAAAATCTGAGGTCAGCCTGGGCTACATGAGACACTGTCTAAGCAAAATAAAATAAAACAAGCAATAGGAGAAAACTCTCAGGAAAATAGCCCTATCCTTGTTAATTCAATCATTAATAAAAATAGAAAGATAAAATAACCACCATAAAAACTCTTTGCACTTTGATGATCTCTTCCTCAGTCTGTACACTTTTAGTCCACAGGTTTTTTTTGTTTGTTTGTTTGTCTGTTTGATTTTTTTTATGTAAGTCCTGCAAGCTACTGCAAATAGGAGCTGAAAAACCAGTATTATATTTCTAAGCAGGCCTTCTTGAACTTTTTTGAATAGACCCTTTCATACATCACTTTTAGTTTGCTATTGTAAGGACTATTTACTTATTTATTATTATTGTTGTTGTTGTAAGGGCTAACTACTTATTTATAAATTTATAAATAAATATTTCCAAATCTATATTGGAATGGAAAATGTTGAGAAGTACTCTCTTAAGTGACTTTATATTCTTTATGTTGCATATGCAAAGTATAGAGGCTATGAAATACAGGAATATATTAAGAAAATAGAAAGCAGAAAATGAAAACAGAAAGATGACTCTAATTACCTTCCCACTTATGACATCCACAAATCTATGTAATGTGTCTTCTTCTGGGGACAAATTCTATAAGGAAAACTGGAGGTGATCTAACTAAGGGTAAATGTTTTTAGCAGTGGAGAGAAACATGGTAACAAAATGTTTACTAACACAAGAGAAACTCTAGTCAGTAACTACAACAGTACAAAATTCTAATGAATGAATCTGCTGAGACTTAAACAGTTAGCAAATCAATTTTCTCAAACATTTAACATTTAAAATTTTCTAAAACAGAGCAAAAAAGATAATTAAACTTGCAAACCTCCACAAGGTACAGATTGCCACTAAGCAAAACTAAGTAAGAGCCCACCTGGTCTTCCCTTTTCTGTTTTCGAAGCTGTATTCCTTCTTCTTCTCTCCGCCTTCGCATCTCTTGAGGATTTAAGGCTTTGTTCTTATAACTTTTCATTCTGTAGTTATCTTTCCCTGGACTAGCCATAGAATCTTAGGAGAAGAAAACAGACAGCAATAACTCTCAACATAAGAGGCTTAGTGTAGGCAATTAAATTTAAGCTCACTAGATTACACTATAAAATACATTCTCTTATACTTCTATCATATTGGAGAAAAGATGACCACATATTTCAGTATGTATTTCTTAGTCTTTGCACATTTCCTGATGCCTTAAAAAGACTACTTGAGACCCTAGCAACTTACTTTAAAGAGGTTTATTTAGCTCAAAGATCTAGAGGCCAGGAAGGTGCCAGCAGACACCCTACTTGTGACAGAGCTTCAGGCTAATTCATACACAGCAGAGAAGCAGAAAGGCAAAGCCAATGGACATTTGAAGAAGAGACAAGGGGACAAAGCTACTGGCTTTGACAGGAACATCTAAGCCTCAGCAGTATTAAAGGAGTAACAAATTTGGACCTAAAAACACTCATCACCCTTATTTCACAGAGTCCATGACATAACAGCTTTTGACAGACATACATCTTTCAGCCACTGTCAGGAAATGAATTGTCTGGGTAAAAGAAAATTCTGAATTATACTGCTGGCAAAATCAAGACACAGCCCCATTTTCAATAAAATATGAATAGCACCAATAAGCATAATTCAAGTATTTACTGGAGTCTGCCTTCTTTCACGTAATTTAGACACTGCCAAGGTCATGAAGGTCCTTGTGTTGTGACTGTATTATCAGTTTTCAACCCTCTATTATAATTAGTTCTTCTGAAGCAAGGAAGTGCCTATAGATTTTATTACTAAAGTTCTATTACAAATGTATTTGAAAATAGCAACACAAACCCAAGCGGTGGCACATGCCTTTAATTCTAACACTTGGGAGACAGAGGCAGCTGGATCTGGCAATTCAAGGCCAGTCTGATCTACATGAGAGTTCTAGGCCACAGAGAGGTACACAGTAAGATCCTGTCTCAAAAAACATAAACACAAATATTTTTAAGCATTATTTTGAAGTGTTATATTTGAAATATATAGTAGTTTCATATTCAGAAACTTAAAACCTTTTAATATAGCAATATTATACATGATATGAATATTTTATGCTGATATTATAAAGAAAAGGCTTTCATCTGTCATCTCTGATATATTAATTAGTTTGCAGATGTGCAAGCAATAAAGTACACTAAAATATATGCATTAAATCCTGTGAGAGCAGTGAGATACAGCAATTAACTGTCCCTTAGGAAGCTCAAAAAAGGCTACTAATGGAGTCCAAGTTAGAACATAATGGGCTAAGGACTCAAGAACGAGGGGAAAGGGTGGTTTGTGGATTGGAGGTGTAGCATAGTGGTAAATTTTAAACTATGTGCTCAGGATACAGGACTCATTTACAGCTAGTCAAAATCCAGTTTTAACATATCTAATGTGTTTCAGCAATTCGTATATACCTATGTGGCGGTCTGAATGAGACTTGGTCCCCAGTTGATGGAACTAAGTGGGAAGGATTAGGAGGAGGCGTCACTAAGGGGCAGGCTTTGAGGGTTCAAAACCCTTGGACTATTTCCAGTGTCTCGCCTCCTGCTTTGGGGTTGTTTCGAGTTCTGGGTTACTGCGCCAATGCCACACTGATGGCCTGCTGCTATGCTCCCTATCACAATGGTCATGAACTCCACACCCCTGAAGCTGTGAGACCCAAATAAAGTCCTCCTTCGTCAAGGTATCTTACCACCATCCATCGCGGCCACGCCCCCTCCCCGCGGTCCCAGCCCCGCGCCCGCGCGCACGCCCCGCGTCACTCACACACTTACCCATCCGCGCGGTCCCCTCCCGGGGCCCCGAGCCGCAGCCTCCCGCGGGGACCACGGCCACGGGCGGCACAGGCCGGACGCCCCGCCTCGGCCGCGCCTCGCAGCCACCGGCTAAGCAAGCCAAGATGGCCGGCGCCGCTTCCTCCGCCCCGACGCCGGCTTCCCAGAAGCCCTTGCGCTCGCGGCCCGGCGGGGGGCGTGGCAGCGAGCCTGGGAGCCCGAGGGGCGTGGCCGCTCGGGGCTGGCACTGCGGGGCAGCTCTGCGCAGGCTCGCCCTCCCCGGGAGCCGCGCTGACCCTGTGGCTGTAGCTGCCTGTCAAGATTGTCACTAGTCCTCCCCGTGCCTGCACCGGCGAGCTCTGGTTTGTTCCTTCCTGCGTACTGAGAGGACTGTGTACGCCCAGGATCCGATTTACTGTCGGGGATCCACACAGCCTTTGCCTCCAACTGTGCAAACTGCTTAGGATGTGCTGTGCGTGTGTGTGCGCGTGTGTGTGCTGTGTGTGAGTGTGCGTGTGTGCGCGCGCGTGTGTGTGCTGTGTGTGTACTGTGTGTGCGTGTATGTGTGTACTGTGTGTGTGTACTGTGTGAGTATGTGTGTGTGTGCATGTGTGTGTACTGTGTGTGTGTGTACTGTGTGTGTGTACTGTGTGCGTGTGTATGCATGTGTGTATTGCTGTGCGTGTGTGTGTGCGCGTGTGTGCGTGTGTGTAATGTGTGTGTGCGTGTGTGTACTGTGTGCGTGTGTATGCATGTGTGTATTGCTGTGCGTGTGCATGTGTGTGTGTGTGTGTGTGTGTGTGTACTGTGTGTGTGTCTAGTTTAAGACGTAGCCCGGCGTTGGTGGCACACGTCTTTAATCCCAACACTCCGGAGGTAGAGGCAGGCAGATCTCTGTGAGTTCGAGACCAGTCTGATCTACAGAGTTAATTCCAGGACAGCTTCCAAACCCACACAGAAACCCTGTCTCGAAGATCCAAATAAGTAAATTAAAAAAGGACAAAGCCTTTCAAATTTAATCATGACGCTGTGTAGCCCTGGCTGGCCATCATGTAGTTCCGAAAAGAATAGCCTCCTACAAGTCTCTGGCTTCAGCCTCTCAAATGCTTGTTTCAAGTTTTGAATATATATATCAAAAGGAACCTGGACAAGACTTTAAATATTAATACTGTGAGCAGCCTGTCGGGCCAAGAATGAAAATATTCTAAAGAGTCACTTATATTCTTTGCCTATCAAAGAATATCATTAGAAGTACAATCCCATGAAATCAACATTTCTCCAGCAATCTCCCGGTAGGCCAAGGAGTGGCTGAAGACCACCTGGTAGCCAGGAAGGAACCTGTGTCTTGGAGAAAGATTCACAACTTGTCAGATCACCTTGCAGGACAGACTTGGATCTGAGACAATCAATGGTGGGCAAAGGGATGTGCCATGGCTGGCCTGCTGAGTCATGGGTACTTCATGCCTAGTCTTTAAATACTACAAGTCAAGACCCCCAGAGAGGGACTTGAGAAATCAATGAATCTCTTTGTCGCTGTCCCCAGTGTGGCCGCATTGAAAAAGTGCCCCTTTCCTGCTTTCCACTATTTATTTGACTCTATTTAATCAACTTATTGAGGACAGGAAGGCAGATCTAGTTGTCGGGACACAAGCTGTGAACCTTAGTCTGGTAACCCTAATCTCAAGTCCTCCTCATATTTACTTCTTTCCTGCCTCGTTTAGATGGAGATTACTGTTCAGTTCCATGCTTCCCACTCTTCTTATTATACTTCTTTCCTTATTCCTGCTTTGAGAGAGAGAGAGAGAGAGAGAGAGAGAGAGAGTATTTTAGCAAAAACAATCTACTTTATTTCAAAATTAATTTCCACCTTTTGTGTTTTACTCCTTCGTGTAGCTCTTGTTAGGGGAACCCAATTTGCTATCTAATTTTGTATTTTTGAAACGTTTTGTACTTTCTGATCTTCCATCTCTTCTGTTCTATTTTCTGAGAAGCTTCCTGTTTTATCCTCTAAATTCCCAATGATAGATACACTTAAAATCTGTTATAGTAGTTTCTAATCCCAAGAGATGCTTGTGTTTTTAATTTAGGAATTAAGTATACTTTTCTTGTCTCTTAGAGGGTATTGTGGCTTTAACTTCTCCCCTTTCGATCTTATACTGTATTTTTTCAGAACTAACTTTAAGAATATTGTTTTGAGGACAGGTGAGGTGATGCACTCCTTTAGTCTCAGCACTCAGGAGATTGAGGTGGGCGAATTGAGGTAGCAACTTTCAAATCAGTCAAGACTACACAGTGAGACCACCTGATGAGTCAGCCTGCCCTCATCTTAGGCTTGAAAGCCATCTGATAGTAAAGACTGATCTGATAGACCGGCCTGTAATCGGACATTTCTGCCTACCAGTTCTCAAATTACCACACAGAGACTTACATTAATTGTAAATGTTCAATATATAGCTCAGGCTTATTACTAACTAGCTAGTACATTTTAATTTAGCCCGTATTCTTTATTTACGCTCTGCCACGTGGTGGTACCTTTATTAGCGTGGCGTGTTCATTCCCCGCTCCCTCTGCCACTGGCTGGTGACTCCAGACTCCACCCCTCTCCCTCCCATCATCCTTAGTTTGTTTGCCCCTGGCCAATCAGTGTTTATTAAACCGATTTGAGTGATACATTTTTACAGTGCACAAGAGTGTTCCCCAGCACCAGCCTGTCCACATCTTAACATTAGAAGCCATCTGGTTACAAGGTAAAAATAAGTTCATTCCTGTTTTCTGTAAAACTTGGGTTTGACCATGTCTTGATTTATTTTCTAGAACTTGACACATCCACCCCTATACCCTAACTTCAACCCTGATAACATGTTCTGCCAAGCTACCACATAACCAAAATTCCTCTGCAAATTCCCCAACCCTTGAAAAAAAAAGATCCCTAGTTTTTCAGGTTTGGGGGCTATATAAATCTCCTGTGTTCAGTGCTATTTTCTCAAGCCTCGCTTTAAAGAAATAGCCCTCCCTGTCTGGGGGGGGGGGAGAAAAAAAAGCTTACATAATTTGACCAAAGAATTTGGGTAATTGTGTTTACTCTCATTTGATGGGATTAACAAGACAAATGAGGTAACAAGGTTCATTCCTGTTTGTGATTAAAGTTCTTTTTCTCAAGGATTGGGCTACGCCTCACCTGTAACCTTCACTACAAATGGTTCTGTACTGCCTACCTGTCCCAGGAA